TTGATAGCTCCCTTATCTATTGCAATTAAATAGTCAGAAATCAGTATTGGAGTAAAGTGTGAAGGGGAAAAAAATGAGGAACGTAAAAGATGTAACGGGATTGCGTTGCCAGAAGTGCGTAAGAAAACTAATGATACCATTCGGTTGGGACTTCGGCTTCTCGGGCGTCAATCAAGCGTCCCTGCCCGCAGGTTGCCATAGCAACTTCAGAGCGCGTCCGCCCAAGCCACGCCCACCACCCAAGGCCCCGCCCTTAGCCCCGCCCCCAGTCGCCTCGCTCTTCATCTACCTACCTCATATCCTGACTTCCGCCCCAACCTGTCGGCTGGGACCTAGAGTTCTATTCTATGCGCACGCTTGTGCTGCCCGACGAAAAATATAGCAGCAAATAACTGAAGTTAGAAAAATATTTCTCCATATGATTCATAGAATCATTTCGGAAATATAAACGCAAAAGCAGTCGCTATTTGTAAGCTGGAGGCTCGGCCTGGCATGAGCGTCTGGAGCTGACTTTCAGGCAGTGCCTTAGACAACAGCAGCTCTGAAGTCCCCAGCTTGCCGAGGGAGACGTGGCCAGGAGTGGGGGAGAGGCCGTCCCCAGCACCGCGGAGGAAGTGGGGCTTCCGGGCGGAGCTGGCGGTTGTCTGTGCAGGCCGGCTCCACCATGTAAGATGTGTCTGCCTGCCAACCGCCCCGATCCCTGTCTGGTCCCGCTGCCCGACCTTAACTCTCTCCCACTCTCTTTCTTAGGTCGAAGGTTTCCTTTAAGATCACGCTGACGTCGGACCCGCGACTGCCGTACAAAGTGTGAGTCGGTCGGAGGCTGTGGGCCTCTTGGGGCTGGGCAGGGCCGGGCCTTGCTGGGCTGGACTGGGGTGATCGGAGGCTTGCCAATAACAACCACCCCACACAGCCTGCATCTCTTCCCCCACTGTATCTCCGCCTGTGTCTTCCAGGAGCCTCTCCGGGGCCTGAGAGGAGAGGTCCCGTGCTTGCTTTCCTGAGTGTCAGCTTGGGCCTGGCACGAGGGAGTGGGAGGGTGACCGCAGCGTTTCTGCTGATCAGTGACCTCCCCTCATAATTAATGGTGGCCGTTGGAGCGGGAGGACATGTGGACAAGGCTCTAGTAATTTGCTGGGATTCTTAAACAGTCCCGATCTGCTAGTGTTTAGAAAGGCCTTGCACTGCTTTGACCAGCTGTTAGAGGAAGTTAGGGAAGACATCCCAGTCCAGACTCTGGAATTACTTGAACGTTTGTTTCCATCAGGCTTTTAATTTTTGTTGAGTACGAGTGGCTCAGCAATGGGATATCGCAAAGTAATGAGCCTCATCACACGCTTTCTGTGTTGGGATTTAATAAAGAGTGTTTGGTAGGAGTGGTTATTATGAAAATAGGGCAATTTACTGATGTGGAGCTTTTTCTTATTAGCACTTGAATGGTGGATTAACACGGGACTAACATATCATCTGGAACTTCCTGCGATTTTAAGTAAACACTCTTGAGGTTATTGCAGCTGAAATTCCCACGAAATGTAGCAAAGAACAGGACTTCAATAGGATTTTAGGTATAATTAATATAATTAGTGAACTGGTAACAGTTGCCATGCAGTCTTCCAGCCATTTGCCCCTTAAACTTTTCATCTTTATTTTTATTTTTTTTTTTTTTCATAAAGATGACCGGTAAGGGGATCTTAACCCTTGACTTGGTGTTGTCAGCACCACGCTCAGCCAGTGAGCGAACGGGCCATCCCCATGTGGGATCCAAACCCGTGGCCTTGGTGTTATCAGCACCGCACTCTACCGAGTGAGCCACGGGCCGGCCCAAACTTTTCATCTTTAAAGTTTCCCTTTTACACCTTATCTCAACTATTCATGGTCACAGCCTAGAACTGTAAGATCTCCAATAATTGCTCCATCTCTGAAATGTCATTTTGAAGTACTATCTTATGGATAACTACATTCTCTCTTTCCATCTTTACCAATATCTGTTCCACAATTTTTCTTTTAATGCATTGATCGCACTGCTTTTTAATCCACTACTATCCCCTCCCCCATGCTTTACCCCACTCATTTCTTTCTTATCCAGCTTAGAGTACATGGAGCATCTTTAAATCATTTTCTTGCAAACATCTTTTCAAAAGACAAAATCACAACAAATTTATAGATGTAATTGGCTTTTATTTACAATGAATGAATCAGGGCAGCCTCCATTCTTACAAAATAAAATAGGGCTTCCCTTTAGGCAATGGAAGAATAGTGGGTTTGTGGGATAGAAACGAGGAAACAGAAAAATAGGAAAATAAACTTATTAGTTAACATGAGTGTACTTAGGATTACCTTTTTTTAAGAGTTAAAGCAGAGGGGATTTTCTTTTATACACTGACTCAGGTAGACTGGCATCTCCTGTTTTCAGGAAGAACTGGTCTGTTTCGGGATCTATCTGTTTAGGTGGCATTTATTGTGAGTGACTCCATTTTGGTTTGGTCTCATTTGTTACGGCCCAGTGCAGAAGAAGCTCGGTCTAAAACAATGGCCTTCCATAATTTTTGTTTAACAACCCTCAACTCTGGTGCCCACCTCTTTCTCCCCAGCATTTTTGAACCCAACCGTTTGTATTCTGTGTAAATAGCTGAAAATAACACAATCAGGTTGATGGATTCTATGTAAAATTCATGACTGCACTTAATAGTACTTAGCACTCTACTACATTTTACGAGTTTGTTTATTTTCCTTTTTATTACCAGGAATAATTTTTTCTTTTTTTTAAATCCCTTTCAGACATTTTTCCCTAACTCCTTTCCCTCTTACCCTCAACCTATCAGGGGGAAATTCTCTCATATTTCCACCCCTATAACCTGTCACTACATCTATAAACCCGTAATTTTAGTCTCACATCCTGTTACAATGGAAAACATGACTTTACTCCTATGAAAAGCCAATTGTTCCACTTGGGCTAGATCCCATCTATTTTCATCTTCTCAAGATTAAAGTGGATAGAGTCTAGAGACACCTCTTTTCTCATCACTGGTTTCTCCCTCTACAAAGGACTGTTCCCACCAATGTGTAAATGTGCTCTAGAAAGAAAAAGTGAGAAGTAGGGAGGGAGAGAGAGGACAGAGTAGGACAATATTAATATCTATAAGAGTGTCTGAAACATTGCTTAATACATGGTGACAATGAATTCAGTACACTGTTGTTTAGTATATGTGTACGAGTATTTGTACAGTTGGATGAGTATGTATAATCTATATGTGGATGTATGTATGTGTAAAATATGCATAACATGTATACATATGTGTAAGGTACTTATGCTATATTTCCTATTCAAAGTAACTGACAACTAACATTTGCATATGAGTAAAAAGAACACTAAGGTTTGTGAAAAAGCATATTTTAACTTTTTTATGTCACTTTTTACTTGTCAAGCAGGTAAACATATACTTTGATAGAGAAACTTTCCTTGAGTTAAGCATTACTAATAGTTGAATTTTGGAAAGAATGTTTCAGTTCTAAATTTATTCTGGGGGATGTCAGAGTTATTCTTTTTTTCCTTTTTTTGCTTGTTGATAGATTCATTATTGTTATTGACACTAGGTTACAAAAATGTAGAAATTAAGCATTCTCTTTTATTTATAGGAAAAAATAACAATACGTTGGCTCTTTCAATCTTATTAGAATCTTTCTCTTCAGTCTTATTTTCCACCTTTTCTTCTCCTCCCTTCCTTACTATTGTCATCACTTAAAGCTTCATCCTCTCCACACTGATAAGCTAGTCCTCTCAATCCTTCCTACCTTTACAGGTTCTTTTTCTGTGCTTGAAATGCAGTCTTGTGACCACTACTTCTCAAAAAATAACATCCTTAATAATAAAAATTTCTCCTCAGTGAAGATTCTGTAACTGTCCAGGGAGTTAATCTCTCTATTCTTTAGTTTCCTATAGAATCTGTGATCTTAGTCTTTATAATAACACTTGTCAAGTTGTGTTGTTTTGTTTATATGAGATATTTATTAAAAGAACAAAGGATGCCAATAATTTACTTCAAAAATTCATTTTAATTCAAAGGATATTTCCCATTTTTTTTTTCAAAACACTAGTATAATTTAAGTACCAATTTTATGAAATGATGTTGACTGGTAAACACAGTAGGTTTAAATCTAGATTAGGTCTGTAGTTACTCTCAGTTCCTCTAATTTTCTGCCAATAAGAACATGCTTTAAAATGTATTTTTATTTTATCTCGTACTGGCTTGTCTATGGACAGTCACCAACTTAGTATATGGGTAGAAACTTATTTTAATGAATATCAACATGACATCTAGTTATATTGCAAGGACATTTGCAAGTCCCCAATTCAAAAGTGAATCAAATCCCCAAGGTTTTGGAAGTTCTCTTGAGGGAGAGTTTTAGGAAAATTAATCTTAGATTCTAAACTATAGACTGCAGAAATACCTGCAAAATACTGTCACCTACTTTGTGAAATATCACATTGCCAGTTTATTAGGTATATTTTAAACAAATGGATATCCTTTAGAATTTTGTTTTTATTCTCACCTCCCCCCGGCAAAAAAAAAAAAGAGGAAAGAAAGGGGAAAAAATAGTATCCATTTTCATGCTTTAACAGTATTTCAGAGGAGTGAAATGGGGCCAACGAAGAATCACACTTCTCTTACTGAAAGCAAGTATAATGTGCTGTGGCTGATTCTTAGGTTCAGAGACCTGTAGACTAAGTGAGGAACCTTGGAATATACAGGAGAATGTTATGTAATGATAGTTGTTATTAAGACATTAAAGAATAATACGGTGGTGGCAAACAGAAGTTTCAAAGAGAATTATTTTATTTTACTTTTTTTTTTTTCAAAAAGAAAACATCTTACTGTGTCTTTAAGAGTTTTCTTAGGATATAATGTCCACTTCTTTTTTAGTTTTTAAATTGGAAGATACATATCAATTGACCCTGGGACTAAGTCATTTTTTAAAATCTGTTTATCAGTGATCTTTAATATACTTGCCATTATACAAGTCAATTAAGCAAATCACACATCACTCTTTAAAATGTTATTTCAGGTTATATTAAGCCCTTTTTCAAATGATAGTGTAAAAGGTGAAAAAAATCACTTTATTATTGGCATTTTGCTGTAGTAAATTTATTCATTGTTATCAATTTGGTCTACTATTTTAGATTATTAAGAGTGCACAGGAGGATGTATCAAAAGTTTTATGATTTAATGATGCTTCTCAGATAGTCTCTACTTATAATGAAAATGATGACATTACAGTGCTTTGGGCGAAAAGATGATTAGATGGGAGGCAGTAAAATGGACTGGGGATTAAGGAGAGATTTCATTTTTGAAATCTGTCTCTAGAAACAGACAGCAGCCCATATGCTAGACTTACTTGTACCAAAGTGTTAAAAATATATAAATCTACAGCTGTAAAGGTTGTTAATTTTCAAGTGGAGTTTTGGGCACCATCTCAGCTCTAAGGGTACTTTTTTTTAGAGTTAAATATAGTGTGCAGTCAAAATAGCCAGCTTTGAAATTCGAAAGACAGCTTTGGTCCAGTCAGCTACAGTAGTGGAAATAAGGAATAATGGGGTATTTAAAAAAAAAATCAACTTTTTGTTTTTTTAATTCTTCTTGCAGACTCAGTGTTCCTGAAAGTACACCTTTCACAGCAGTCTTAAAGTTTGCAGCAGAAGAAGTAAGTATGGAAGTTGAAAAAGTGTGCTCAGTTTCTGTCTTCCTCAGTTTCTTAGTATGTAAGATGGGAATAGTTAATGTTTGTCCTTCCTATCTGATTAAGTGGTTTTGAGTAAAAATATATCATTTTACAAAATTTTTTGGTGAAGTTAGAAGAGCTAGATAAGTACAGAGTAACTCAATCCAAATGTTTTGGTTTAGAATCTTTAGAAAAGTTTATAATCACAGAAAAATAATTTTAGTAGCTAAATAAATAGGAAACCAGCTTAATTCATGATGCTGCCATGTACTTAGGTGATTAACAGGAAGTAGGCCAACCTGTCGGTGCTCATAGCTCCTTGTATGCTATTGTCGGGGACCACTAGCATAATTTGTCATTCATTCAGAATTAAACTGCAGTGTTGTAGTACATGTTTTACAGTCAATTTTGATCTACTCTTCGTGGAGAAAGAATATATAAAATGAGATGGGACACACATTTGAATACAACATTGTCATTACTTTTTTCTGCACAGATAACTTTTAAGAAATATTTCTGGTCTGGGGCATAGCAGATTCCACAAATTCCAGATTTAAGATGTAGGTCATTATAAGCTATAATTAATATTATTATAATATATTTTGTAGTTATCTTCTAGTTTTCCCTTTGTTGTGATCTTGATCTTCTAATGAAAGTAGAAGAAAATCTTAACAGACATATGGTAGAAAATAAACTAACAAACATCACACAACCACATATATTGATTAAGATTTTAATGTAGCTTATAATTATTAGGAATCACAGGTGTTACACATTTGGAAAGGATATGACTTTCGGGCAGTTTTGAAAGGAGCTTTCACAAGATGACATTGTGGAATCTTTCAGTGAGAACAGAAGTTGACTTGAGAAACCAAGAGTCTGGATTTAAATCTCTGGTAAAATTCTCTCAATAAACAATAATAAAATTCTCCAGCACATGACTGGGAATTAATTTAAGTAATGAGTTGTCAAAACTTGAGAAGGAGCCTCTTACAATCCTAAATTAGAAGAATTATAGGATCTGCGGAAAAAAATAAATGAACACTGAAGAGCATAAAATAAACATGACACCCAGAAGAAAACTTGTCAGCATTCTAATATAAAAAAAGAGCATTACTGTTTTGTTTTTTGTGGTTTTTGTGAACACTGAAGAGCATAAAATAAACATGACACCCAGAAGAAAACTTGTCAGCATTCTAATAGAAAAAAAGAGCATTACTGTTTTGTTTTTTGTGGTTTTTGTGGTGGCTGGGTGGTATGGGGATCTGAACCCTTGACGTCTGTGTTGTGTGTACCACACTACCAACTGAGCTAACTGGCCAGCTCCGAGTATTACTGTATTTTATGTCACTGGTGATGTCTCCCCACATTTCAGCTTAATTACTGCTTCCCCATTATGCAGAAGGAAAAAACTTTATGAGCAATTTCTTTTGGTTTTTCAAGTGCATAAAATATGTTGCCACTATATGGATGTGACTAAGGAAATGTATAGCTTATAGCATAATCTAAAAATAAGACTCAGTAGGTAACTTAAAACTTTGTGGGATTCTGGTTTGGAAAATCAGAGATGCCCTATAATTAGTTTTTTTCAATCAAAGTTTTATTGAGATTATACCTTCTACAAAGTATTTTCGAAGTATTTTGAAATTTATTTAAGTACATTTTGAAGTTCTTAAAAATGTTTCAATCTTTAAAAGAACATTTACAATTAAGAATGTATTACATTGAGAGTAAAATTATTTGTTTAATAGGTACATAATAGTGTAATAAGTAATTGTTCTTATGCATGGTTAAGTTCTTAATTTTAAAAACTTGATTCTTGAATTCATAATTTAAAATGAGCTTTAAGTTGTTTTTCTCAACCATGTATATGTGACCGTTATAAATGCCCAGAGTAGTGTTTCGCAGACAATTTGAACCACACAAAAACTAGTACCACTGAAAAAAAGCCATGAAAAACTGGGATTAGTGACCAAAAAGTATGGAAAACCTTTCATTCACAATTTCCTTCTTGGAGTTACATATTGGTAGTATACTAAAGGCTTTTGAGAAGACCACTAGTTTAATGTAGTGTTTTCCAAACTTATGTGATCACAAAACTCAACTGTAATATCTATAAAATTAGTCCATAGCACAGACATGCTTAATAAATATTTGTTGGCTAAACGAATAAACTGTGAAGACATGAACATACTTTGACAATTGCTGGTCTCTGGAACATTGAGATGGGGTGTACCTTTTAGCTACCAATTTTAGTTCCATGCCACATTTATTTGATCCAAAAAGCACATTTATTTACAACATCTCAAATATATCTGGGGAGTCTGGCTGTCACTGTTAGTCATGTGGCAATCACATAATTGTCTAGTTGATGTCGCCTGCACTAACTGAACTTGATTTTATTTCCTGGTGACATAATTGGACTATTGCAAACCCCTTAAGATTTAAATCAGCAAATCATTGAAAGAGAATTTGAGGAAAGAGTACAAACTTTGGTTGTTACCTGAAAATCTTCTGTAGGTACCTCCTGTTAAACATAAGAAAGCATCTGTTTGGAACTTGCCATTTCTAAGAAGAAATTTTAGAAATCATCTCAACAATTTATTTTGCTATATTTTTTGCTTATTCAAGAGAATTATACATGATAAAAGCGACATGTTTAAGTCTGAAAGAGTGAACATTGATTGGATTATAGATTGACAGTATTTTTCTTTTTTTGTAGTTCATAAAGTAAGGTGCATTTTATAATCATTGGTGTCCTAAATACAGTCAAAATGCATTATTTAGAGTACAGGATTGTTCTTTAAAGATAAAGCAAATTATACTACTTTCTTTGATGGTGTCACTTATTCTAAAATATAAATCACATTTTGGAACTATCCTTGCTAATCGTCTTTTATAATTAAACATATGAGTATTTTCATATTTTTCTTTTCTCCCTTTTAGTTTAAAGTTCCTGCAGCAACAAGTGCAATTATTACCAATGGTAAGAATTCATTTTAAAACTATTACCTTAGAGTTAGAGACATTGTTTAAAAGGAATCAAATTAATTAAAGTTGACTTAAATACAAAAAGCCCCCAAATATGTGACATAAACACTAAGTCAGTGTTATTGTTTGTAATTAGCTCCTTTCAGTTTCTTTGTGCTTTTGGTGTAGTATAGCACTTTATTATATCTTGTGTTCTCACCACGTCATGCCAGATTATTACTGAAAATAACTTTCCTTTTTATTTAGCAAGGTTTTGTGTTAATAAGTAAATTTGTATTAGTAAATGCTTTAGAATATAGAAACTTAAGCAGGAATGTACCTTTGCTATACCTTGTTATTCCTTTCCTGATAGAAAACTGTTTCTTATAGGCTTGCAATAATGAGGATTTTATTCAGTTAGGTATGTAATTAAATACATGAATACCTTGCGATACTGATAATAATTAAGTATGACGGAACTAGTCCTATAAGAAAATAGTATGATAATAAGATGAGGAGTAAAGACTGCAGGGAGGGCTTGACTGTCTTTCAGGTATACAAAATAATGTTGATGGGCACTGGTGAATGGTCCATGTGCAGTTAGGACAGACTCAGAGGAAATGGGTCTAATGTGCAGTAGCATGATGTAACTTAGATATGACAGAATGTCTTACTCTAAACTATTCCGTATGTTGTCACATTGGAGTGTTTCTTCATTTAAAAGAAAGCTGGCCTACTTTTTGGAAAATTTTAGGTTCACAAATGAGTAACTCTTAGGAAAGTATTTTGAAACTTTCAAGTGTCAGTGGAACTTGAACTGAAAGACTTTATGGGTTCTCCCAGCCTTAAGATTTTATGCCTCAGAGCAATATGGAAATGTTTAATGGCATACTGAAGCTGCTTTTAGCTTTTTGGAAGAAATAAACATTATTTTTCACTATATTTGACAAAGTAGAATTAAAAACCTATCTTCCATAGAAATTATCAAGATCATTGCATTGACAGACATCTTGTCTAATCCGTCTATGTGTATAAATGCATAATGCATAATAATAATAACAGATTTCAACAGACAGTAACTTACCTGAAAGATGGTCACTCATGTTCTGGGATTTAAACTGTTTGACTTGTACCTGTGTACACAGCCACACTATTTTGGTAAATCTCCATTTTATCTTTAGCAATAACTTACGTGATTTTACAATTTATTTTATAGATGGAATAGGAATAAATCCTGCACAGACTGCTGGTGAGTATCTATTTGAATACTCATGAAGGTGTGGATGGGGTTGTATGTGTCAGTCGATACTGAATAATTTATTCTAATTATACTTGATAGGATGTTAATAGGAGGTAGCTGTTGTTTAGGAATTATATAGCAGTCTTTACCTATGTGTCTGAGTATAATTTGTTTCATTATGTATTCAATTACATATGTTTTTGGCTACAAGTAATAGAAAACATGACTAACAGTGGCTTAAGCATTAAAAGTATTTAATTAATACATTTAACAAAAAGTCTGAAGATAAGGTTGTGCTCTAGGGGAATAATGATTTTGACCTACCTCATAAGGTATTGGGAGGTAGTGCATGTAAAGTGCTTAAAAGTTTGCCTTTTCCATAGCAAGCATTCAGTAAGTGCTAGTCAGCTACTAGTATTATTTTAAAGAAGTGTAGTCATTTCACATTTCGAAGGGCTGAGTCCACACTCCAGAGCTTCAAGCTGGTTAGTGATGTACAAAGTCATACATTGATTTCCTAACAAGCAGACAGGGTAAAGTCTTATACTTAGTTAAAAACAGTCTCCTATAAGCAGGAGCTACAAATATAAGAGAGAGAGAAAGAAACAACAATCACAATAATACACTGAACTTTTAGAAGGAGAGAACAAAACTGGTTACTAGAGGCAGGAGATGGAGAGGGGAGATAGAAATTAGTTAAGGGTTACAAAGAAATGATTATGTTTTGTAATGAGGAATATGCTAATTATCCTGATTCGATCATCACACATTGCACAGAGGTGCTGCTATTCAACACTGTACCACACAAATATGTATAACCAATTACGTTTCAATAAAATAAATAACGGGTCGGCTTTAGCTCAAGCGGTTACTTCCTCAAGCCAGATTTCATTCTGGCTGCTATTCAACACTGTACCACACAAATATGTATAACCAATTACGTTTCAATAAAATAAATAAATTTTCTAAAAAAGTAGTCTTAAACTTGTAAAAAAGTAGTTTTATATTTTTTAAATGTACCCTTTGGATTTATAATATAATTATAATGTTTTGAAATGAAGCACACTTTAATATGATGTACCCTTATTCTTGAGCAGTAGTTATTTTTAAATTATTATATGCTAAAGTACTTCTTCATTATAACAAAATTGTATTGTCCTCATAGGCCTTAGGATTGAATTCAGTCATATAGAAAATCAGAAATGATTTAAAATTGCAAATTTTTGTTACTTAAATCAAGTTTTAATTGCATAATTTTATTAAACTAAAAAGGTTTATTGAAAATTGTAAGACCCTTTCTTGTATAAAAAAGTGCCTTTAAACTTAATAGTAAAGGTTTTGTTTTTTCTTATTCTAGAAATTTGCAAGTTTATATTGGTTTGAATTACTGTTTACCCTAACATGTTGCCTTTATATTACCTTTAAAAATTGAATTTTTCATATCATTGGGTATGAAGAAAATCTCAACAGGCAATTGACCCCAAATAGGTCAAGGTATCTAAATTTTTGTCATTTTTGGTAATTTAGATTCATTCTTTTTTTCTCTCCTTGGGTATTTTATTGTTTATTAAAGCAAGTATTCATGATTAAATTAGTTCGTGTTGTTACTTGCTAAGTGTATTTAGTAGCATTCTCATGCTGGTGTTCTTAAAATTTTAAACATTTTTTAGATTGTGAAGATGTGAGAGGAGTAGGAACAAGACTTAAAAAGCATGAAATTGGTTTCTGATGATGCTTGAGCTTTTGTACCTACTTTTCACTACATTATTTATTGTATGTAATTATCATTGGAATATTAAGATAACTTGTCATTTTTTAGATATCTAACTTTATGTTTTGTTTGTTTGTATAGGAAATGTTTTTCTAAAGCATGGTTCAGAACTGCGAATTATTCCTAGAGACCGTGTTGGAAGTTGTTAATATCTTCTACTTTGGAACATTTGATTACCTTTCAAAATAAATATTGGTATTTTTTGTTGTTGTTATAAAATTATAATCAACCGTTTAACATACTATGAAAACACCTAGAGTCAGTGAAATAGTGACAGGTGACTCTTCTGTTCCTTCTTGTTCAGATTCTTCATGTGAAGGGTGAATGTTTATGAATTGAGGGTACACCACCACAGAAGATCAGTCTTTGATTGCTACCTCACAACGCAAATTGGTAGTTCATTTGGAATAAATGGATTATCTGACTGTGTTTTGTAACTGGAGGATGCTTTTGATAATTCTTTCTGAGAACATTTGGAAAATTAAAATTTACTGAATCTTACATATTTGTCTTTGAGTTAAAAATTTAAAGGGATTATGGATTGTGGATGAGAGTTTGCTTGATAGCAGCTGATATACAGGCTCATAAGGAATTTGATTCTTAATATATGTTTTATGATAAAAGCAATAGACATATCAGTCTTAACCTTTTTTCATGTGTTTTTTCAAGTTTCAAACTTTATGTGCCATATAAATTTCAATTTAATGTCAAAGAACCAAAAATTGAGTTTTTTTATCTAACTCTTTTGTGTATAAATTGATGTTCCACACCAAATAGTTTTAATGGTGATCTTGTAGAATCCAGTGCTTGTAACGTGTGAATTGACAATACAGTAGAAGCATCTTTTGCTGAGTTATGCATTCCTTTATCGATTTCTTTTAATACAACTTTTAAAACAGGTAGCCTCAAGAAACCATTGTCTTTTTGTAGATAATATTTCTAAATAGCATTCAGGAAGAGATTATTGTTGCAAAGAAGATCTGAAGTTCTCAAGAAAGCTCAAGGAAATGCTGATGAGTTATGGAAGGCCCAACTTTTAAGGATGTGCCAAGATTCCAAGTGAATAAGAAGCCAGAAAGGAAAGATGGGGACTGGGCTTCTGATAAAGAGGAAAGCAACACAGGACAAGAGCAAAGGGTAATAGAAAGCTGTAGTGAAGTGTCACAGAAAAACCCATCTGGATGGACAAAACTACAGAGGATATATTGGAGAAAACTGAAAGGGAAAACCAAATACTACGTAGTCATAAGTAGCAGAAGGCAATTAGAGAAAGCAAAGTATAGGCCTTGTCAACATACAGATTTCAAAATGCCCCCCATGATAATCCAAATACTGATATGCGTAAGAAAAAATTTTATGTGCCCTTCCAGAGGAAATCAGTATCTGTGCAAATCTTGAAAGATGAAGTGAAAGCTCATCGTGATTCAGAATCAGTGCTTCTCCTGCTGTATTCTAAATGGTGAGCTCTCTGGAGGCAGGGAGTGTGTCTGTTGAGTTCTTTCTACAGCCAGAAATATAAAAGGCCTTCAATAAATATTTGCTAAATTACTCATGAATAAAGTCTCTCTAAGGCCAATTTTTATTTTAGGATGTTTCAGTAGCTTCCCTCTTTTAGGCCCTAGGTGCATAAATGAATGCAAGATTCTGAATTATCAAAGGAAAAAAATCTTTGCTGAGGTGGAGATGTATACTGCTGATGTTTGAAGATGTTTTTATTTTCATAAAGAAAATATGCTCAGAGGCCTGTATTATAAAATTAAGCCTCAATCAGAAATTTGTGAATACTCATTCTCTGAATTTTTGGTTTAATTTAGATTTTCCTCTATTCTGTTTCTAGCACAAAAATCTGCCTGTTGTGTTGCATAAATACATTTATGGTGTCCTGTGCCATAAAGTGATTTATTTAATGTATTTGTTCTTTAGTTTTGCAAATTATATTGTAGTAAGTTCTCCAAAACATTTTACTAAACTAGACATTTTATTATTAAATGTGATCTGTAAGTTCTTTGTGCAGAATGTTTTGAAATATTTAAATGTGTTATTGATCCAAAATTAATATCTTATGAAAATACATTTTGTTATACTGTAAACCATATTGTCTACTTTGACTTTATTATAGCTCTTAATCAGCACACCTATTGAGACAGTACATAACAAATGTTTTAAAAAAGGGCAAATGTGATTAGTGAACCTAAGTCATTGAAATGAGTATATATTTTCAAAGCTGGTTCATTTTACAGGAAGATAAAGTTTAGAAGAAGAAGGGATTATAGTAATTTGAGTAGGCTGGTAGGTCTCAAACCTGGGTGATTATCAGAGTCATCTAGGGAATTAAAAATCCAGATTTCTGGAAACCATCCCTCAAATTCTGACTCATTAAGTCCAGAATGATGTATAAGAACCTCTCTATAAAGCAGTCCTGGTGATTTCTGCTGAGAAGAACTAAATGTGGCTTAAAAGGTCAGAGTAACTAGAATATGTTCTAGAATCTTGGACAGTGTACTTTCCACTGCTTGGTTCTCAGTAGCTTGACTGAGTGCAAAGATGCTAGCTAACAGTTTCCTTTATTCACTGGTAGTAAATAAAGTAAAGCCTCCTTTAAAGTTTTCCAAGTCAATAGTTTTTTTAGATATTTTATTTCTTATAATTAATTATTGATTCAAAAGAAAAGTTAATGGGAAGAAAACTCAGTCTCAGGTAATATCTCCTAACCCCAAATTAAGATATTAAAATTATCTTTTTTACCCAAAGACCTTGAAATATTTGGGAATTGGAAGTATTAATATACTTTAATGGACTGATTCAAAGTTAATTGGTATTAATGTTCCCAAGAACATTTATAAAACCACAGACACAAAATAATGATTTGTGTATGTAATTCATTCAAAAGAAATTAGTTGAACCATCTACTGTGTGTTAGATATTTTGATGGATAATTTGACTTATATTACTCAGTCTTCACAACAATGCCAAGTTGTTATCCCCATTTTATAAAAGAAAAAGGAGGCTTAAAGAAATTGAGACTTGAAATTTGAACCCATGTTTTGACTTTGGTACTCTGCACATTAATACTAGGAGAATTTTTCAGTATCCATTTTCTGCAATATACTGTATGTATTAAATTACAAATTTAAGAATAAAAAGTACGTAAGACTTAAGTTCCATTTCAGAATGCTGAATATGTGTGTAATGATAATGGATGGCACTACTTTTTAATACATTGTATAAATACGATGCTATAAATATAAAATTCTAGGACATTAAATATAAACCAATCAAAAATGATGATGCTGGTGCTATTTCACAGGATGGCTTAGTGGGAGCGGGAGCTATCCCCCAATATTCATAAGTCCCATCAGACAGTTTATGTTTTTTTTTAATCTTATATGTCTTGCAATTGCAGGTTTTCATGACATATGAGGCTCTTCACGAACTGATCTTTGTTCACAGTCGTCTGTTACTACTCTCTTCCTTATAGTTTTCTTCTTTGGTTTACACTACAGCTGCACTGAACTGCAAATAACATTTTGTATCTCTGATGTGCCTTGCCTTTATACTTCATGACTTTACTTTCCCCATGTGTCTGCCTGGAAAATCTAGACTCATTCTTCAAAAGCCATCGAGCCTTTCCTCACTCCTCTCAAGCAGAGTTAGATATTTAACTGTCTAAGCAACCATTGCATTTTGTACATTTTTCCACTATAGTAGTTATTAAATATAGAATTATTTGTCTCTAATTTAAACTATAAATTTTATAAAAGTTTAAGATAATGACTGCAACTGGGTTTCCCAGTTGCCTTGCCCATGATAAATGAGTACTTTTTAAATGAAAGGCTACATAAAGAATGAATACTTTGGAAACTGGAACTATTTATGTCTCATACATAGTAGCTTCTCTAGCCAGAATATTTGATTAACTAATATACCCTTATTCCTCACTATTTCTTGTGGTAGGAATTTTTCATCTTGGAAATGAACTAATGACTTTTTAAAAAGTGCTAAATTTCTCCAATTTAAACATATTAATTATTAGCTAAATGCTGGATATTGTTAAATACTGGAAATGAAATATCATTAATACCCCTTCATTCCCTTTTCTTGGGCTTCTCTAATTTTTATACATTTTAAAGACAACAGAATTACTCAATGGAGTAATCATGGATTTAAATACTGGAAATGAAATATCATTAATACCCCTTCATTCCCTTTTCTTGGGCTTCTCTAAATTTTATACATTTTAAAGACAACAGAATTACTCAGTGGAGTAATCATGGACGTGAAGATATGTTATTAGGCCTTCCCTAGTCAACTGAGCTAACTGGCCAGCCCACCTGGGAAAATGTGTATCAAACCTTTTTTTTATGTGCTGAGCACAATGCTAGACATTTTACATACATTACCTCATTTAATCCTTAATCTCTTCAAAAAATTCCTGTGTTAATCTCTTCACTTAAGGAAGCTGACACTTAGGTTAATGTGTCCAAGGTTACATGAGATTGGTTCCTAGGTCAGTATGATCATAAACCCACAATGTGAGTTGTTATATGATTGTCGTCATTTTTCCTAGAATTACTTCGAAATATATTTCCAAAAGGAAAATGAGCACCTCTGGGAGGGGCCTCTTAGATTGCTTTTTAACATTTCTGTGATCTCACTTAGCTTGAAAAATTTGACATTCAGCAATCTACATAAACACTTGCACTTACAGACTCCCTATTAGTAAATATACACATTTATAGCAACAACGAGAATTGTGAACATTTGAGAAGTAGGCTCAAGGCCCTGTCATCTGCTTTGCTATATAAAGGGTGTTGAAATTTTGTCACTGGATGCAAAACACCAGCCAAGGTTGGCAGACAAATACAGATATCCAGTTTTTGGCATAAATCTCTTGATTTTCTGGCAAAACTCATTAGTAATATAAGAGCTGTTATTGAGAGCATATTGTGATGCTACATCATGTCAATATTTGTTTGGCTGAGTAACACTTGGATTTAGTAAATTAATTCTTAAATGCACAATTTACAACTTCTGAGCTGTTTTAGAAATAAACTGTATGTAATTTTTGTTGTCAGTGCCACAAACATTTTGAGAAATCCTAAGTGAGGGTGCTAGCTTCTGTTATTTTAGATAAGTGTATAGACAGATTAGGGCTTTCTGGATTATCCTTGTGCACATTATGTGCACATTATGTAAGAATGAAACATAAGAGGCAACGCATGAATAAATAACTGCCACAGATAAATTACCAAAAGGAAGGTCATATTGAGTTTGTGAGGAACTACATCCTTGAGTTTTTGAAAACTTGCTCAAAGAAATGGGAAACGAAGGTTTCAGAGGGCTATGTGCTCAATGGTAGACCCAGTGAATTGCTATCAATCACATATCTATTCAATTTAATCTTGAACTTGCATAATCCTGCTGTTTGCATTGCTGTAAACAAGTAAATAAATGAATGTAAAAGTCTCATCTAAGGAAGGTAAGTAAACTCTTAGTGAGCAACAGGCCATCTATTCTAAAACCCTTTACCAACAATGTGTAGGTTTAACTGTAGTTTTAACTTTTGACTTTTAACTGTACTGTTTAACCTTCAGGGCTCAGGCAATCGATCTTCAAAGTAAATGTATCTGTGTTTTCACTTCCCTGTTAAAATCTATTCATTGGAGAAAGTTCTTCCCCTGTCCCTGGATAAAAACTGAGATAGTCTCATAACTTTTCATATCACTCTTAAGTAGTAAGAACAATTTAAGTTACCAGAATTTCAGTTCAAAAATTTGAAAGTTCAGAACCATGATCAATGCTTCCAACTTAATTAAAAATTCCATTACTTGTCCTCCCTACTTCTCTCCTGGGGCTTCCTTTTCGCTTTTTGTATTCACTTTCTCCCCCTATACTACCCTAGTTTCTGTCTGTCCTGGGAATTGAGCAAAAGTAGAAACAAGTGCTAAGAGAAGCAAAAATTCAGTGGCATCGGACGGCTTTATGCTCTTTGGCTCTATAAATATGACTCTCTCTCTGATTGTTAGGAAACTCCTTCATCCTCAGGGACATCTGGATAAGAGTGATGCAATCTTGTCAGTCTTATTGATTATTCCTTTTGCAGGCATCGAGAATCTCATAATCCATCTAGTTTCTCTACTGAGATAACGATTTATTGGCCATTCAGGCAATTGTACTGCACTGATCTAAAACAATCCCATGAAACTCCTTATCTGTTCCACAGTATTTAATCACATCTTTTGACCCAACAAAGCCCCTTATATTTGGCTTGTCAGCAACTAGCTGGCTTATCTTTCACCATTTAGATTTCTCAATTCAGAAGTCAGACACATATTCACTGTGCCTATTATACTGCAGGAATCACAGGTTAGGATTCCTGAGTAGTCCTAAAGCTCTGCTCACTGGGCTGAGGTGGGCAGAAGAGCTCCCACAGATTTTCTTGGTAGTAGTAGTAGTAGAGTGATACCCTTATAATAGCTCTTCCAAAAGAAAGCCTTTTCACTAATTCCATCTCTTGAATCACCAACTTTTTATGCCATCAATGATCCATTCCAACATGAAACTTGTTTTGAAGTATTTCTTTTGAAAATTTGCAGCTAAGTGTCTAACGTCTGTGGAGTAGAATCTTGGCAAAATTTCCATGTTAACATTCTCTTACATTTTATTATTTATTTACTTTTTTATTTTTTTGAATTTTTATTTTGTCGATATACAATGTGGTTGATTATTATGGCCCATCACTGAAACCTCCCTCCCTCCTCCCTCTTCCCCCTCCCACGCAACAATGTCCTTTCTGTTTGCTTGTTGTAACAACTTCAAAGGATTGTAGTTGTTATATCGTCTCCCCCCCCCC